ACACTGGGTGTCAACAATCTTTCTAAGTCCACAGCTGAGCCTATGTCTTTCCAAAAATGCGCCAGATGGCTTGCATTCGTAATTTATTGTATTTATCCACATATATATCAATTATTATCAACAAAAGATGTCGATATTTGGTTGATCATAGTCAAATATTCGTTTAAGTACAATATGCTATAATTAATTCATATTGCTCAAGTGACTTTTGCGCTTAAAGATGCATTAAATATAGTTTAATGCTTAAACCGTTTTAAAGCGCTGAAATAAAATGCTATAGGTTCAATATTGCTGGATTCATTCGTGCGAAGTCTATTTTAATGTTCGCTTGCTCGCGAAAAAATAGTTTATGATGACATGAATCTTTCCATTTCGTTCTGTGTGCATGAAAGCTGTATGATAACGCTTTAACGGGGTTAATGGTCGCGGATCCAGTTGAATTGTTGCCTAATGCGCGTCTGACATGTGTGATTTGTTTTTTTCGACGTTGGAAATCGGAATTCGAGAATGTTGAAAATAATGCAGTTTGCTATCCGGACCAAGTATCGATAATATATCGCCTGTCTTTTTTTTATAGGATGGGGTGACAAATGAGCACACAGTCCACCTGATAGTAAGTGGTTGCAGTGGCCCATAGACATCTACATCTATCCTCGTTTGCGAATCAAAATACAAATGCGTTGTCACCCGTGAAGACTAAGATGGAATGCCTCTTTTCCAGTTAAAAGGGTCTCCGGTTCTCTACACTCACCATACGAATTTGTTTTGATTTTTTTTAGTTTATAAGTATTAAACGCGAAAAGTAACATGCGGCCGAGTGCATACTTTTACTTTCAAAACAACAAGCCAGCAAAACTTGGCCATTGTACGCAGCTCTCACTAACTTTACTGTTACTCAGTGTTTACTAAATAGATTGCGATGACATAATATCAATTTTTCAATGTAACTTTAGGTGTACATCAAACCTTAACGTATTTAACGAACATATTCATCAAATTTTTTTTGAAGGAAATAATGAAAGTGGACGATGCGAAACTAGTATGTAAGGATCGTAGCAAGTGGAAAGAAGTGGTCTCTGCCTATCCCTACGGGAAAGAGGCGTGATTAAATGTATGTATGTATGTATTCATCAATTTGGTCGAATAATATCTTTAATTATTCTTATATAAAAGTGGTAAACGAGCACGCAATCATCACAGATATTTATTCCCGATTAAGAATGAAAATGCAGATGCGTTGTCATCCCTGAGGACTAAGGTGGAATGCCTCGTTTTCAGTAAAAAGAGTCTCCGGTCCTCTACGCACACATACACACACACACACACACACACACACACACACACACACACACACACACACACACACACACACACACACACACACACACACACACACACACACACACACACACACCACTCGAAACACAATAACATAAGTTGCTTTTTTACGCTGGTATTCAGAGAGACCGTGGTCCTTCTCCGGTATAGCCAAACCATTCGTGTTACAACAATAATATGATTATGTCTACAACGTAGCTCCATCACGTATCCCTCGCATTTTACTTTTTATTTCATGATTTGCTTCACAGCTATCCAATGCTGGACCATGGGCTTTTATTAGGAAAGATTGGTCATAGATGTCGCACTTGTTAGCCGAATTGGTGATCGTAGTATTTATTATTTTCGCATCTTTAACGCGATTTGAGTATGTTAATATCTGCAATTTACGTGATGGAGGTTAATTTTTTTTTCACAAAAATATGAAAAACAGTTGATCCTGCAGGCCATCCCCGGAACTTCCCGCTTATCTTCGAGCGTAACGCTCGAAGATATATTTAATTTTTGTTTTTTATTTTTTGAAAATCTTTGAAACAACTAGACCGATTGACTTGAAAATCTAATCAAATCGAAGTCTCAATTAATACTTGCCGTGTCGCCCATCTCGATCGGTTGATTCGTTTTAAACATATCGTACGACAAAATTTTATTTACGTACACACACCAAACGGCTTTCTAGGATCTCAAAACGTGGAGATCTGATGAAAACTGGCATTCTCAAAATCGGACCAAAATCTATAACTTCCTACTATTGAAAGTTAGTAATCTTCAAAGCGGGAAGTTAAAAAAAACCTCATCGTGTGGGTGAGTAGAATTTTCTCCTCACAATAGCCGTCTTACATACATGTATCACACGTATGCACACGGACAGATGTCCAGACCCATTACAATTATTTGTGGGCCATACAAACACTTGCTTTGTGTAGGATTGAACCCGATGCAATGCAGCGCAGCAACAAACCATTTGGTTAGGCCTAAAATATACTTCTGACCTTTTCCAATGTTATGACTGTTACGACCCCTAGGACGAAATGGGATAATGGAGTCACTTGGGTCGCCCCATTATTATATCTACGTTCTATAATAATAATGATTATTTACTACATTGGCAAATAATTGTTATTGAACCTAGACATGTGAAGAATAGACAGATATCGATGAATAATGACTAAGAGATTAAAATCTATACATTTAAATAAAATTGCAGTGTCGGCCTGTAATGTCGAAATAATGGCTTTTTGTTGTTTGTTTGTTTGTTTACGTGTCATTAAAAGATGAATAACTATTTTTACATTTTTCTATCTGTATATCTGTCTAATGTTCAGAATGGCTGAAAAGATTGATGAAACATCACAAACAGATAGAGAGCTATGCCAGTATTCACCTTAGCTACATTTTATCTAAAAATCTTGAATATTTTTTGTAAAACCGTAGTTTTTTTAACATAAATGTTAAGTAAGTATGACCACATATCTTCCTATCGTTCAAAGCTTAAATGGCTACCTATACGTCAAAAGCGATGCTCTAGATTCTAGAGCATTGAACAATTGAAAAAATTGAAAAAAGTACAAGTAAAATACATTACAACATTTTTTTTTATAGGATAAGGGTGACAAACGAGCACACAGTCCACCTGATGGTAAGTGGTTGCTGCGGCCCATAGACATCTACATCTATCCTCTATTACAAATCAAAATGTAGATGCGTTGTCACCCGTGAGGACTAAGATGGAATGCCTCAATACTTACAAACATACAAATATATACAAACAAGTACAAGAGTCTAGAATTTTACTTGTACTTTTTTCAATTTTAAATGATCCAAGGTCGCCTTCTTATCTTAAGGATAACTTTCATTTTCTTCATTTGATTGACGGTAAAATACCACAACAATCAAACCGTCTGAGGATAAGGTTTCTACGGCATAGCTCTAATTCTTTTAGGCTCTCTTTTACGATAAAAGCTGTACATCTTTGGAACACCCTCCCCAATGATATTAAGAATGCTACAAATAAAAACTCCTTTAAATTACTTCTACGACAACATTACCTGAGGGCACTTACTAACTGACATTTTGTTTTCTTCAAATATTTATTTATTATTATATATTAATACGGATTTTTATTTATAAAGTTTATAAGCATGTACACATCTTTACATATATGTATGTATGTATTATTGTATGTAAATATATGTTATTTGTATATATATTTAAATATATGTTGTGTATGTGTACTATGTTTCGTTGTTATTTATGTATTATATTTCGCACCTGCCTACAATTATATTTGGCACCCAAGGTTGACTAGCAGAGAATGCCATAAGGCATTAAGTCCATCCTATGTACCCTTTACGTTAAGGTGTTACATTGAAGTTTTTCAATAAATAAATGATCTTTGATGATATCTTTGACATAAATGATGTCACATTAATAGATCTAATCCAGGCGAAGACGCTGGGTTAGTAGTAAATATAAATAAACTGTGGTAGTTGGATCAATTCCCGACGCTACGAATGAAATTGTTAATTGCACTTGATGACAAATGAACACTGTATCTCGTAGACACCGGAACAGCTGCCCTATACTAAAAATGAAAATGCAGATACGTTGTCACTACTGAGAACATAGATGGATTAATTGGTTACCGGTAAAAAGGTTCTCCGGTTAGTGTGTATGTGAAAGCTGCTGGACCATGCTAAAATTTGTAATTGAAATCTAAGTGATTTGTCGCATGCTCGGTGGTGAAAATAGGTCTGAGAAATTGAAAACTCTCAAAAAATGAAAGTAAGCATGTACCCATTGGCTTTTAATGTATATAGGCTATACCTTTAGGTTTTTATTAAAAAGTACAATATAATATATTTAATTACAAAATCTATTGAGTAAATTTTGTGTGTCAATAAAATAATTATAGAGAATGTAAATGTTGATTTCTATGTTGATTTATTTGAGTTAATTTGTGACTACAATGTGATAAACGGTAAATAGTGAACATGAGCATTATTGGAAACTAATTGAGATTACAATGTTCTGAAATATTTGCAAGCTATTCTAATGTATGAACTGGCTAATTGTCCAAATCGGGTAGGCCCGCATAATTGAAAATATACAATGATTAAAAAAAGAAAATAGATTTTAATTTCACTCATTCATTTCTTAAAAGAATTATTTTTTAATAAGCAGTATAATGCTAATTAAATGCTAAATACTGTATAAAATTAGTTTTACGGATTTTAACGTAATTTTCACTTCACGGATTTTCACGTCAATGATGTTCACTAGGTTCCCTTTCGCGACCACGGGTGCTATGAAGCACCCGAAAGTAAGTTAAAATAAATTAAATTAAACGCGATAAAATCCGTGAAATTATAAGTTGAGCGCAGAGAACTGGAGCGTGTGGGAGCACTGAGAGATCATGCTGGGATTTCACGATGTAAATTACTAAGGATTTAGTAGTAGTCTTCAAATATATATAGAAAAATTTGTAATAAAATATATGTAAATAACAGCCTTTGAAGTATGGTCTCTCAGTTCTCACAGCCAACCAGGCAGATCGATGGTATCCTAAAAATGAAGTCAATGTGAATTAAAAATTAAAAATGGAATATTTTTATTTATTACCACTATTTCAAAAGTAGTTACATTTATTTATCTCGTTTCAGAATGGACACTAAAGAGGAATCAATGGAAACTGAAGTAACAGTGAGTATATCCTTTATTTCTTATTTGTTAAGGAAAACATCCGTGTTTCCTGTTGCGGCGGCGTAAAAGAATATACTACCTTATATAATCTCATTGGTGATGTGCGACAGGGGGAACTTAATGACAATAATAAAATGGCAATCATTGGGGCTAACATCAGAAGTGAAAATTTAAAACTATGAAATGACAGCAGTTTTTTTTTTAGATTTAATAATAAAAATTTTTTTATAGGATAGGGTGACAAACGAGCACACAGTCGAACTGATAGTAAGTGGTTGCTGTGGCCCATAGACATCTACATTTATCCTCGTTTGCGAATGAAAATGCCTTTAGCACCCGTGATGACTAAGATAGAATGCCTCTTTTCCAGTAAAAAGGGTCTCCGGTTTTTTACAGTCACCATACGAAACACAGCAGTGTTAAGCTGCTATTTGACACTGGTATTCTGTGAGAGCGTGGTTCCTCTCCGGTCGAGCCGAACCATTCGTGCTGTAACTATACTACTAATATAGCTGCAGCATGACTCTACCACGTATAAATGCATGTCGGTGACGCGAAATCATAAGATTTTAGCCATCCAAAAATCGTCCAACGCACCTTCAAATGTTTTCATTTTAAGGAAAACTGCAGTTTGCAATCCACTCGACAACCGTGGTAATAATGACAAAAATCCCCCTTATGGGATAAGCTATAGTGGAAGCCTATGTTCAGCAGTGGACTTTTAATTGGCTGTAATGACCGAGGGAAAAATATTGATTATCATAATTACGTCAATTATGCATATTATTAATTATAATTTATAATCAACTGCTAGCCACATAATTGCACCTGATTTGCATTTTAACGCGGTCTGAATCTTTTTGGGCGGATATAATCTAGATAATTATTCCACATGTCGTAATCTTAGAAAATTTCTTGTGCTGTTCTTTTATCATCAGTCTGTAAAAGTCATGTTGCATGGAGGATTTGACTTAATCGCCGCACTAGGCACGCGGTTTGCTATTGCTTGCGGTTTAATATGGGGTAGTGTATTCCTTTACGTCGTTAGTACCTACTCAGACTACCACCTGAGCACCTCAACACCGATAAAAATCCAACAAGACTGGCTGGCACATCCCATTTGTCTCTAACGACACTTACGTGACGAAATAGGGTGCTGGATTCACTAAAGCCTCCATCGCAAGGCAAATTTGGTCTGTTTTTGTAAGTTTCCTTTAGTTGAATTGATGAGAGTAAACAGATTTTTGCTCTACACTTCGCTTACTGGGACAAGGCTGCCCCTCAAAAACCTATCTTTCCAAACGGTTATCGGAGATGGTAAGATATAGAGAAAGTTGATGTATGCAGGTGACTCAGGGCCTTGCTATGTGACATTACTAAGGTGAGGCCTATGTTTAACAGCGGACTTGTGATGAACTATATTGATGATTATGATGATGATAGATTTTTATTAGCCAAAAACGCTGTAATATCACTATACTACTTATTTGTTTATTTATTTAATTATTTGTTATAAAACCGTGATAAAGACTAACGGCTTAAAATTAATTACTCATTTATATTGATGCTAGTAATACATGTGAAAATATTTCACGTTATTTATATAACATAATGTTTTGTTTTAATTAAGTTTTTATAAAAAATGAGGCCAGATTCAAAGTAAATTAGTAGTTTAAAATGTACATGTACTCCTTTACGTCATGCATTGGTAATATTTTAAAAAAAACTTGATTATTTCATCCGTAGGAAGCTTTTCACCACTATGCTATTACAAATTTAACGAAAAAATAAATCTCCATGCATTTTCATTCCACATTAATGTATATTCCTAAATAACAGGAACCAGGAACAGTTTATGCCCCTTACTTACTTCTTAATTGACTTTTGAATTAAACTTAAATGATTATGCTACATTTTAAATATAAATATGAACGAGTAAATAGGTAACTCTATGATTACTATATTATATGAAATAAATTTTAAAAGTCATTACAAGAACACTTTTTGAAAGACATTTGTGCATTTATCACTGGTTCGGAAGAAACATCTGTCTTGAGAAAAACCAGCAAGAAACCCAGCAGGACTTTTTACAAGATAATCAATAATATAATATGTTGTACAATTAACATTTGGAAACAGTATGAGATCAATCATCTCCAATCCCAGGGGTTATTATCAATCAAATACTGTACACATTTTTTGCAACTTTGTTGTAAAAGCATATACATTATCCCATGAAGGAATAAATGACTGCTTGAAGTCGAGTAACTGATATAACTAGTTTTTGCGTGTTCCTAATATTTACAGAATGTACATCACTTAAAACTTTCACTGTCCTATTTTCAGGACACTAGAAATGAACTATATATATAGTACCGCGACAGGAATTTATATTATCAGTAAATATAATTAATTAAATATTTTTATTTATTATGTCGGTAAAGTTAATGATTGATCATTTGTACTATTTTTAAGATCAGAATATAACACTATGGTTTACAATAAACTACAATAAGGTATTGAGTATACAACGTATTGAGTATACATACAGTATCCAGCATTTGTAGTCAATCCCATCTAGTGGTATAAGTGGTGATGAAGCCCAAGATGGTAAATCGTACTGTTGAAGCATAATAAAACTTATTTCACTGCTTTTCTGCACGAAGTACGAAAAACGAAGCGAACAGTTAAGTTAAAATGCGTGGATTATCGACAATAAAGTACTAAAGACTCACCGATCATCTGGTTGTCCGATGGTAGTAAAAGGAAGGTGGGATTAAGTAATGTACTTCTGCGTGCACTAAACAGAATGTATAGGAAATTTCAACCCCTAACAACTGAAGGTGTTCCGTGAACCCCAAAGGTACATACGGAGAGAAGGAGTCAAGGTGAGCGAGCTCCTTCTTGCGGTGAAGACGCACATTTGTGTTTTGGGGACGTTGAATCTTACAAGATTATCATTGCCCTGTTCGGAGCGTACCCTGATCGTTTCAAGAAAATGATTAACAATGACCAATGTTGTGTATACATTTTCTAGTATAGATTTTTGAGCTTTTTCTGGAGAAATTTTTAAGTCTAACCACTATTATCTCAAGCTGTTAGGATAATAGCAAGTGATTGAAACAAAATGAGCTGATTTGATAAACTGAAAGGTTCATCATAATAACACGAGATCACACATACCTTTACACAAATGCGATAATAAGTACAGTCACCGCGATATGGCCTTGACCTTGCACTTTAAGATACCCACCTGTTTTGGTCGCTTTAAAACTTTAAGCGCAACATAAAAAGGATTATGAAGCAAAACGACATATGTATATATATTTATTATTAATAATAAGTACTTATTATTGATAATATTTGACTATAAAATGATCAAATTAAATATTTGATTGCTATTAAATGTATCAAATGAGGTGGCGAATTCCATAAAAAATAAATTGCAGCGTAGTTGTTAGGTATACTATTTAAAGATATACTACTAGAAAAGTTCATGAAATGTAGGAAAATGCTTTTGTACACTGCTGCTTTCACGATATGCCTAAGACATAGTAGACGAGGCGTTGTTTGATATTGGGGTCGCGACAAAAATACATGGCGGCAACGGATCAGACGGCAGTAGGCGGCAGGCGGCGCACGCGCCGACCGCGCGCAATTCTTTACGAATCCAAACATATCGGCTCATTTACTGAGCCCGTGCTAAATTTAACCGCTGCGACCAGATAATCTGTATGTTATAATACATAAATAAGTGAACAGTTATATTTAAGTGATGTGAGAATCTACAACCAAAACTTGTGAAATTCTTGAATAAATGTGACAACAGATTTATGATTAAGGCCATTTTTTGGATGTCATATTAATTAAGGAAGTAATAACTCTAAAATTCGTGTCAGTCCTCGTGAGTATCTGAAATATATATTTTTTACAGTTTTGTCAACTTGCCAAACAGTTTTTGAGGTTTAAGTCCCTTAAAAATATTTTACTCTAATAATAAAATATCTTTGAAACGATACTGTGAAATAACGTTAAAATATATATTGCAGAAAAATGAATCCACCGTCTGCACTTTACGCTGCCATGAATAAAGATCGCAAGCCATTTACCTATACTCCTGGTGGTTTGGACCTTTCGGAAATAAAATCCGAACGGATGGCGAAACGGTTAATGAGAAATGCCATGAGTCAAGGCGTTCCGGAGCAACCATCACCAAGTTTACATTCACCACCAAATCCATCAACAACACTGAATGCACCAAATTTTAATTGTTTGCCAGTTCAAGTATTTCCAACATTTCCTCTTCCAGCTAATCCAAAATCTTTATTAAGAACAAGAAGCAACCCAAGCAAACAAAATGAGCGATTTGAAAATGAAATTCCTTATGAAGAACAATTAACAACGAATGGCACACAACTTGATACAAAACAATGTTTAGGGCATAATAATAAAAACAATTGCTCGAAATATATTCCATCAAACTTTGAAAAGACTGATCTGCCCATATCTTTAAACGAGTGCTCTACTACACCAAAAGTTTGCACACATTCAAGCGTGAATTATGGAAGTAGTGGCTACACGGAAGCATTTTTTCCTAAAAGTGACACAAGTGAAGGCAAGGTATTGAATTCTCCGGATAATGACCAACAACAATATATTGACGCTAGACACTTAGAAATTGATGGCAACCAAAGTCTTCACATGTCTAAACCAACCTTAAAATTCAATTCGGATAATCATATACTTCCGACGTTATCTTCAAACTGTATATCAGAAAAAAAATCATCTAAAGTATTTGAAGAGGTCACTGGAACTGAAAATAAGCAGGTGGATGTAAAATCACTGTATATTTACTATGTGTATATCTATATGTGTGTTTATATTATCTGTTATACATATTTATTATACAGAATTACCGACCCATAAAAACAATACTGCTCATACATAGTGAGTTCAGATAACCTAATATTATTTTAATTTGGATTGTTTTTATTTACAACTAATCGATGTTTTTGGCAAATATTCTTTATTTTTGCTTTTCTAATCAATTAATTTATTATTATTGTGTCGTTGAATTCAACTGCATCGATAATTTTTATTACGTGTATAGTAAATACGTTAGGTTACAGTAACTTATTTACTTTAACAAGCCTGAATCTACTGCTGAATAAAGGTATTTTTCAAATTGCAGCAACTGTTGAGACTATATACATATATAGAGACATGACATATTGAAACATTTGCGATGGTGGGTTTGATTATAACATACTCGATACACTCGTATTAGGCTGTCCCCCATTACCAACAGTCTATGTTATTTGTCTTCATATCTGTCATTGTCATTTGTTTCTCGCTAGAGCTTCGTACCTTAACTAACAAGGTACATTGCGTGCAGAAAAAGTTAGAATTTTGGAAAAAGGTTGAACATATTATATAAATAGCATTAAAATTTTGTCTGTTATACATATTTGCCATCGTGGAATAGAAGATCGAATGCAATACATATTATGAAATGAAAAAACTCAAAAACCATCATTTACGATTTGCACAAAGATTGGTTTTTGGTATTTCGCATTTAAAACTCCTTGTTCATCAATCCATAAACGTCGACTACGGGCCGCTCCCATTATAAAGAGAATTTGCTTTCATCACTACACACAGTACCAGACCTCTGTATGGTCATTCTGCTCTTTTTACGTCTAGCGTAAACGCAATGGTTCTACTACTATTAATCTTCAACCATAGTTCATCCATAGTTTGGTCCGTGTTCCATATACGAGGCGTGAAGGATTCTCTTATTCCGCCATCACACGGCATCTTAGAAGTTAGTTATCAAATTTTTATATGGTATGTTTATATAGTGAATGTTAAGCAATGTAATAAGTATGATAAGTAAACAAAACATGGTTAAAATTAACCGAGCCCTATATAAAATCGATACGAAATAATTTTTAGTTTTTACTGACAATATAAGGCCTAAAAATAATTGTTCCAGGTATAAGTATTGGTACATGTGCAATTTATTAATATGATATGTACGATACAAGAGAAGCTATCAGTGTAAAGATATAGTTTTTTTAAGCTGTATATCATCTAGCTAATTATATGTAACGAATCATCTATAAAATTTAATCGTTGTTTTTTTGCAATCTATAGTTCTTAGATAATCGACTAATAAACTAACAACACTATTGCAACAAAAATAACTTATTGTAAAATATTAGGTACATCTGTAATAATGTTTTAAAAACTTTTATTACCTTAATATCTTTTATATCTCATATAATTTCGCATAACATTTTTAAGGTTTCTCTTTATTTGAAATTTAAATTTGAAACTATTTAAATGAAAGATGGTACTATTTATACGTATCAATGAAATGTCGTTGCATTGAAACATATGTCCACGACGATGATATTTTTTACTCTAAAAACATCATTAATACACATCACTGAACTTTATATGTTCTAAATACTGGTTCTTGTCTTCTACAAATTTAATAAATCAGAAATAACTATCAACAGATGAATAACTTGTTGTGTGGCGGCATAGAAGAATCCATTACTCTATTTTCCTTGTCTTTCGTTGCCGCAGGCTATCGGATAGCCCAGAAAGATTTTGTGGCTTCAGATAAATTTTCACAGTGGTGATATAACCATCTCGTTTACGCCAGATGTATAATACGCAGAAGAGGAATAGGAAGCAGTATCAAATGTGCACGCCGTCTGGTACTGCGATCGTTACTCCACCTGCCAAGCGTAACGAATAAGGCAAATTTTTCCTACAACAGGAGAGGCCCATGTTCAGCAGTGAACTTTTAAAACTGATGACAAAGAAAAAGAAGAAGAAATACATTACTTACATAATAAAAACCATTTTTCAGAAAGAAGTAAACGTCGTCAAAAAAGAAACAAACACAGATAGAGTAATCGAAGAACAAAATGGCAATACGAATGTTGAAGCTGCGGTGACTGTAAAATTGCCTGGGAAAAAAACATCAGCCAAAACGGAAACTAAAGTGGAAGTGGTGAAAAAAGAATTACCTGATGGTTCTGTTGAAGAAGTGAAAACAACAACGACAAGGACCACCATTGATGGAAAGACAGAAATAACAACAAAAACGGAGACAACGATCATTCCTAAGGAAGATGATCTAGAAGAAGAGGAGATTGTAGAAGAGGAGGAAGAAGAAGAAGAACAAGAAAATGATGGTAATGTAATAGTTCAAAAAGCGTCTGAAGAAATTGTAAAATTGCATGATGAAGAACAAAAATTAAAACAAGAACCTATCGAAAATATTACGAAACGGGAAGAAAGTTCAGAAACAAGTACAACTAAAAATGTTACTATTATTAAGTCTATAGAAAGTCAAAACGATTCGGAAGAGGAGATAGAAGAAGAAGAAGAAGTAGAAGAAGAAGAAGAAGAAGTAGAAAATGAAAATGTGGAACTGACTGTTACACAAAAAGAAATAGAACCAAATATGCAAAAGAAAACAGACATTGATGATAAAATAGAGTCAGAACCAGGTGATGAAGTTGAAGAAGGAACAAGCGACAAAGATGAAGATGTGCATCAAACAACACAAGGAAATAATGCAATAAAAAGTCAGACAAGTGAAAAAGGGGAAGAAGTTGAAGAAGTACGAAAACTAGACAATGTGAATGATGTATGTGAATCTGAAGAAGAAAATGACAAAACTCCAATAAGGGATAATATGAGTAAAGACAATTCATTACAAGAAAAGGAAGAAGAAGAAGTTTCAGAAGAGAACGATGATATTAGACAAGAAAAATCAAGAAGCGAATCAGATGCTGCAAATGAAAACGAACAAACTAACGCAAGCAATATTGAAACTGTAAAAGAAGCTATAAAACTGACTGAAGAAAACAAAAAAGAAACTGTTATTGAAGTCCAGGTATCGAAACCAGAATTATCCATGAAAGAAGAAACAAACCCCGAACCATCGGGTGATGTGAAGGACAACGAAGTGAAACCGACAGTGCCAACAGAAAGGAACATTCCGTTAAGAGAACCATCAGTTCCTCTTGAAAAGGTGGAAGACGTAGAAATTAAACCTATTGGACAAATAATTTCTAAATCACATACTGAGAATACTGAAATCATTACAACTTCCATTGATAAACCAACAGCAGGATTGAGTACACAAACTGCATACAATAGAATAGAAAATATAGTCACAGTGAATCGCACAAGTAAAACATTAGATCAGGCTTATGAACAAATTTCTCAGCACGGGGTTCCCACAGTTAAGACTTATTTTGCACCAAATGATAGACCATTAATTTCACCTCAATCTTCTCGGACTTATCAATCAGTTTACTCTACGGAACCTCAAGGTGAAAGAAGACATAGCCTCTTACTTGATCGTCTTAGTGTCGATCGCCAAATGCCACCCACAGAACTATATCAGAGTAACTATCAATATGGTAATCAGACTTATGAACAAAATATTTCTTCGCAAGGACCCCAGTCAGAGGTATTAACAGTAAGCAATGTTAAGCCTAGTTCTATTACAAAAAATCAGCAATGGTATCAAGAAACAAAAAAAGATGAAGTTGCTTATAATAATACAGCTCCTTGTCTTAATGTACCTTCCCAACAGTGGAATTTACAACAATCACATCTAAAGTCACAACCACAGTCACAGCCGCAGCCACACTCACAGCATCAACTTGAATCTGCATATCAACCTTCATTGCAATTTCAATCACCCTATATACAAAATACACAAAATACGTATAACGCAACCTCAAACACTTCTAGTACTTATCAACAACATTCATATCCAACCTATACACAAAAACCAATGCAAGCTTCTCCTAGCATAAACAAACAAACAAGTCAATTTTCCTATATAGAGAAAGACACACCAGAAAGTTATCAAAGACCATCACAGCAGTTTTCATCTACTTATGTTCCACCTCCGTGGGAACAAGATCCTAATTATGTTGCGGATAACGTAAATCATACGTTATACTCTCCGCCATCAAGCAATAAATTTACAAATACTGCTAATCAAACTTGGACACCTCCTACCGCAAGTACATATTCGAAGCCAAAACCAACGTCGTACATACCACCTGCACCAAACCAGTCATTTGTCAAGCCGGTAACTACTGTGGACCCTCCTAAGATGCCTGGACGCAAAACTTACTACAGTGAATATGAAAGACGTTATATATCGGTACCAGAATCTACTTACATCCCTACCGAAAGTAAGTTCCAAGCGCAACCTAATCCATCACCTCAATACTATTATGACAATTATGAACCGTCAGAGACAGTAGAGCACGAATGGCGAAAAGAGCTTAGAGAGTTTTCTGAAAAAACACAAACTCAAAGCCAATCCGAGAAAACATTAGTAAAACCTTCTTGGGAAGAAGATACAAAATATTATGTTCCTAAAGTTACTACAGAATATACCCCCACTCCTACGTGGAGTCAGACTTTACGACCAAATTCATGGCGTGAGAGGAGTTTTGAATCGGAATTCTTGCGATCACAAGAATTGCCAAAGACAAACACAAATACATTAGGGCGAGGAAGGCCCCAAAGCACATATGTAAAAAGTAACATTTCTACACCAATTCCGGAAAGACCTCGCGGAGTATCAGTGGATAGATACAACCCAAATAATTATAAGTCTCCAACGCCATCAGAGTATCCTCCAGTTCAGAGTCACACCCTAGACCCATCAGTTGGTGCGAAAACACACCATAATGCAAACGTGCCTGTTTATCACTCACGAGCCTCAGCTGAACCTAGGTAAGACAGAATTAATAATGTTTAAGTATAGAATTAGAAAATTTTATTTTTCATATTTAAATAAAACTAATGGACTTACTTATAATAAAGAGACAGAGAGAGAGAGAGAGCAACTTTAAGCATTACCTAATTTGACGTCGATGTTATAAGTAAGGCCTCCAAGTGTTGAAATTTAGTATATTATTTCTAAGTAACGGTGTTATGGATAATATGTTATTTTCCAGAGAGCAAATTTACCCGCAAACAAGGCAATGGGGAGAAGCACGGGCTAGCCCCATTCAATCAAGATCTTTCAAGTATCTACAGTGGATTACTGGAACTGAAGATTGAGCTTAGAGTGAATCAATTTTTAAATATAAGTCATATTTTAGGTATGAAATCAAGAGAAAGATGAGTTAAATATTTATTGAATAAAAGGAGATTTCCATTTTTAAATTTTTCGATATTGTTGCAGAGAACATTTTTGGTCTGTATATTTCGTGTCTTCTTCTTATTAATCTTATTATAAATAAGCTTCTTAAAGATTTAAAAAAAAAGTAGTTATTGATCAGAATTGTCAAAATAAAATACTTCCCTCCAAGGAACTATAAATATGAAAGCAATTCTCTATCAGTGTAGAACTAAAATAAAATATTATGAACCTTTTAAGTTTACCATTTTACTTATATTGTATGGTTTAGAGACATTGTTGCAATGTGATATTTTTGTATACTTAATTTGCTAACCTAGTCATTAGAGGCTAATATAATATTATCATAGGCCTCGAGTAAGAGAAAAACTAAACTTTGTGTTTTTAATTTCGTACTTACATTTATTTTTATTTTTGGCATTGCGTTAACATTGGATTATCCTCGTGTACAATGATACATACCGGCTTTTATTAAATTAAAAACGTGCTATGTGCATTTTTGTACATGCTTCTGTGAAACCTGTAACATAATAAGAAAAAAAAAATCTTTACTCAAATTAATATTAATTTTTAACATCAAAGATATATTTTGTACTTAAGTTATTGTTAAATGCATGGTCCATTATGTTGTAACAGTTCAAACATTTTATATGTTATTTGTGAAATTATTGTTGAGTTTTACATAATAAAGACTTAATAAAGTGTTCGTTCATTAGTACAAATTATGACGACGGATTAGTAATCACAATAATTGACTACTAGTAACTTGACAGACTATTACAGTTACCTCCAATCATATGAGGCGGCTTATAAAATACAAATTATTGATTTTTGGGCGAGGATCCACTATAATTGTTCTTGTGTTCAATCCAAAATCCGATATACAAACAATGTTTAGTATTGGATACTGATAGGTTTAGACTCAGAAGTGTCTCTGTGTTTACCCGTTCGTATATACATACATAAACACTCACGCCTGTCACCCAAAGGGGTAAGCAGAGACTATGGACCTCCATTTCACGATTCTGACACAGTTCTTTTGCTTCCTATACATTTATATACTTACACATACATGCTCGTTGGTTAAGGGTTCCCCAAAATTCGCCATCTTCAATATATGGCCAATTTGGTCGATAATTTTCAATATCCGTTCGTACATTTGCTTATATTCTGTTTAGCTGATAGCTTTTAAAAATATGTGGAAGTTGCCGTCGTAGAAAAATTCTAGCAAGATGACATCATAAACTTTGATAAATAAAGTAAAAGTAAAGTTAGTCTTTATTCATCCTACAGTTGGCCAATGGCCTCTTTACATTTCTGAAAGAGTTATAGAGCAATTCATCCGCCGCGCCTCTCCAGTGCAGTAAACTTCATATTCTTCATGTTCTTAAAACTATTTTATACCTTAGTCTTATTACCAACATGTATGAGCAATATCTTCTCACGATGTGTTTCTTCATCGGCGAGCACGTGAGTTGTGGCAAATTTATGTTACATTACAGTACAATACTAGCAAGCAAACCTCTAGGGGTTTATCTACGCTAGAGTCGCCTTATAATAAAAAGGTAAAAGTTACAGCCTATATACGTCCCACTGCTGGGCACAGGCCTCCTCTAATTTCTGAGAGGGTTTTAGGGCAAGGAAGTCTCCACCTCGCTGCCTCAATGCGTGTTAGCGAACTTCACATGTCCTCGAACTATTTTTTTTCTTATTTCTCAGACATGAAGGTTTCCTCACGTATTTTCCTTGACCGCCGAGCACGTGGTAAATCAGCACTTAAAATTGCAACTAACAATTTCATTCGTGCCGGCGAGGATCGAACCCGGGTTGCTCGCATACTGTGAAACTTACAGCGAGCGCTAACCATCTGAGCTACCACGAAAAAAAGGTACGTATTAATATTAAGTTACTACACTCTATTAGTACTATAATATATATGGCTGATTTAATTTAATTGCAATTAACGAGTTTGTTGTTGCTGGCGAGGTTCGAACCCAGGTTGTTCGCTTACTATAAAATTTACAGCGAGCACCTAGCCCTTCACCTACCACGTCTCTTGATAAAAAGATAAAGAAAAATAATTATATTTTAAAGATATATTAGTAGTTGGCTCGGCAGACGTTGTTCTGACCTTTGCAGTAGGTTCCGCGATGAGTTGCACTCTTAATTTACTCCGGACTAGATTTTGTGATTCTTGTTTTTGGCACAAAACCACAATATATTGTTAATATGGATATTGTATACTGCAGTGGCGGTGTAAGAATGTACTCTACCCCATATCGTCCCATGGGTGTCCTAAGAGGCGACAGAGGGAAACAAACCATGACATGGGCGGTAGCATCTTCCTAATAACAGTTAAAAATTAGGAACTGCCTGCGAAGCGTGACAAATATAGCAAATATCCCTCCTATGAGCCAATCTAGACTTATATTTAGCAGAAGAGAGCTTATAAGAGAAGCTTATGTATAAAAAAAATAAGGAGAGAGTCTATCTTTGAGGAAGGCTTATGTTCAGCAGACTTACTCAGCAGAATAGGCTGTAACTGGAACGAATATTATTGTTCCACACGTATAGAATTAGTTAATAACATGACTACAGCACCACCTACCTATCAATATAGAAAAATTTTTTTGGCGATTATGATTTCAATCGATCAAGACATTTAAAAGTTATACGATTTCTAGCAGGCGCACCGACTACTAACAGTGATATTCACAATGGGGTAGGTTGCTTTTTTTTAATTTTAGAGATATTGCGAAGAAATAGTAGTAAAATGGGTGTCTGGTTAGCGACACTTACCATACGCAATTGTTTTTTTATAGGATATGGGTGACAAACGAGTACACAGTCCACCTGATGGTAAGTGGATGCTGTGATCCATAGACATCTTCTTCTCGACTAAAAATCAAAATACAGTTGTATTTTCACCCCTGAGAAAGAAGAAAAAATGGCTTGTAACCAGTAAAAAGGGTATCCGATTCTCTACACTCACCATATGAAACACGGCAGCATTAAGCTGTTATTAAAAGGTGTTATTCTGTGAGAGCGCGGTTATACCCCGGTCGAGCCGACCCATTTATGCTACAACCATAATATAGCTGCAGCGTGGCTCTACTCTGTTTTTATATTGTGTAGTGGTTTATTTATTTATTTAATTCAAAAACTTGTGGTTTACAGAAAATCCAATATGCACACAAGGTAAAATCTTATATACAAAAAAATTTAAAAATTGCATCCATTTATAACAACAAAAATTAATTAATCTAATTTTTTATATTAATAATTAAAAATTTATAATCGTAAATTACATAATTATAAAATAATAGTCATATAAAATTTCGAAGCTTTCAGCAGCGCGTATCAAGAAATTAAAACAGTAATAAAGCCAGTGAGGGCTAGTAATCTTCCACTCACCAGATGTCGCTAGTTGTGACTGAGGTAAAGTTTTTTGTTATTAAATGTCAGATAATTGAGGTTTTCGGGCAAGGAAGTGTTCGCAGCGCTGCCCCATTGCGGGTTGGCGTACTTCACATGTCTTCGAATTTTTTTCCTTATTTCTTGAACACGCAGGTTTCCTCAAGATGTTTTTCTTTACCGCCGGGCAAGTGATAAACTAGGAGTTAAAATTGCAACTAACAATTTTATTGGTCGATCGATCCTGAGTTTCTCGCTTCCTGTGAAATTTACAGCTATCACGGGTCATTTAAATACATGTTTTCTTTTTTAAATACAAAGTCCATAATGTTTGGACGTTGTATTTAAATAATATACATATGCATAGTGTTACATACATTTAAACATTAATTAGGTTTTCATTAAAGATTTTTTATTTTTTTTGAATGTAAAAAGCGGAGCTATAAAGTCAGGATGCGCTTAGAAATTAAAGCCGCTGAAGCCGTTAGACGGTCACCGTATAGCCGCCGACCGTGTAGTGGTGGTGCACTACCCCATATCGGTGTCGTAAGAGGCAACATAGGGACACAAACCAGGAGATGGGCAGAAGCGTCTTCCTGATAACAATTAAAATAAAACCCGTCAGTTAAACGTGGCAACTGTAGCAAATATCCTTCCTATGAGGCAATCTATGCTGAGACTTATGTTCAGTAGAGAAGAGCTAATAAAAGAGGCTTATTGTACAATAATTATAATAAGGTGAGACTCTATAAGAATCTATGAGAGAGGCTTACGTATAACAATAATACATAATGTTGTTGTAATGTAATATAATTGATCGAAAAACTTTTTAAGTTGTTAAAAATTAATTTGCGAAGATCCGCGTAATAAAGTAAAATGATGTGTCTCACCTACTTTGAAGACACACCACCATCGATAATGCGTGTCATTCCTGGAGTAGTGGTGTTGCGAGTAGTGGTGGTGATATTAACGGTGATGGGGATAGTGCACGCAATTGAGGAAGGGCAGGGGGTGATCTTCAAACTAGGTAAAACACATTATTTTATTTTATTACGCGGGTCGTAGCAAATTAGTTTCTGACGGCTCCGTGGCGTAGTGGCTTAGCAATGAGTTGCAACGCTTGGGGCCGTGGGTTCGAATCCCGCACGGAAGAAGTATTTGTATGGCCTACAAATAATTGTTCCGGGTCTGGATGTTTGTCCTTGTGCAATATATGTTTGTAAACTGCCTCCACGATACAGGAGAAAATCCCAGTGTGGGGGTAACGTTTTTAAAAAGAAAACAACTTTTATATTATGGATTTTCGCAGACTAATGTAATATTAATTATCGAAATACATTAATTTACCTAAAACAGTTTTAAAAATATAATTTATTACGAGAATTAACGGTCTTAATACTAACGTTTAAATCGCTCCACTAGAAATAAAAAAAAAATATAAAATCCTATTTTACTGACGTGTTACAACGAAATGCTCTTTTCCTGCCACTGAACTATTCCACTTAGCGCCCGTGAATGGCCTGTCTAGGTGTCCTTAGCTAGAAATGTTTAATCTGCTTTAAAATCTCACGTACTCGAGAAAATTATTTTGTTAATTAAATGAACATTTCTCTAAAATTTTATATTGAGATAATATGGTTGATTTAAGTACACAAAATAAATTTATTCTATGTTATGCTTTGTTTTGTTAAGCGAGATTTATATTAGGTGTTAAGAATGAGCTAAATCCTTAAAGAAAATTTTTGTCCAGCAATTGCATTTTTTTCCAGCTAATTAAGAAAGTAATGTTGATTGTGCAACAAGAGATGAAATAAAATAATTTAAACTTATTAAAATAAAAAGTTTTACCAGTCTACTAATTTAGCACCTAAATTATTTAGTTTATGAGATCAGAACAAGTTAATGAGTGTGAAAAATAAGTAACGCATAACATATTCGAGATTTTCTTGTAAGACACGATCAGTTTTAGTTATTAGGTAAATAAAAAAAAACTGAAATGTCTCAATTTACAGCTCTAGCTGGTCGAGTAGATTTTTGTATTATACCGATTTTCTGTCGAGTTTGATAACCATGTGTTATGTGATTTCAATTGTTATTTATGTATAAATTTAGTATTTCATACATGCGTCCACCAAGTGCCATTGATTTCGGTATATCGGAGAGTTCGAAAGATTGGCAGTAATCTTTAGATTTTTTGAATGAGAAGTGAATGAAAGATAATCTTATTTTATGAATTGGAGTAATACATTTTATTATTTTATGCTAAATTACCTATGTTTATAGGCCACAGCATCCACTTACCATCAGATG